TTGTTTTAGCAATTGTGAATAATGCTGTACTAAACATGGATGGAAAAGTGTCTTTCTGACTATTTTCCTCTCCTTTGGGTAAATACCAAGGAGTGCAATTATTGGGTCATATGGGAGTTCTATTTGTAAGCTTTTGAGGAGCCTCCATGTCGTTTTCCAGAGAGGCTGTACTAATTTACATTCCCACTTACAGTGTAGAAGGGTTCCCTTTTCACCATAGCCATGCCAGCATTAATTGTTCTTTCTCTATTTTTTTTTATCTTAGCCATTCTAACAGGGTTTAAATGGTATCTCATTGTGCTTTTAATTTTCATTTCCTTTATGACCAGACTTTGAACATTTTTTCATATGCCTTTTTGCCACTCACAAGTCTCCTTTTGAGAATTATTTATTCAGTTCATTTGCCCATTTTTTAGTTGGATATCTGAGGAGTAATGTGCAAATGTTTTCTCCTATTCTGAGTGTTGTCTTTTCAAAGAAAACAATCATAGGCCCATTTTTTTAAAATAAAATTTTGCAATAGGGCACATCTCACTGTAGAGACAGAGAGACAGAAAGTGAGAAGTCAACCCCCTCCTTTCTCCTCTTGGGATTTTGGGCACATATGCACATGTGCCCAGTGTGAGTTTTAAGTCGCCAGGTCTGAGACTCGACTTGTGTTTGACTACGTGGGAATCCAGCAACATAACCATTGTGTCATCTGCTGGTCCTATTTGCCCATTTTTTTTTAATTTAAAATTTTTCCAGGTAAGTTGCATGAGTTCCTGTTTTATAATAGTTATCAGTCCTTATCTGAAGCATAGTTGGCAAATATTTTGACTTGTGTTTGACTACGTGGGAATCCAGCAACATAACCATTGTGTCATCTGCTGGTCCTATTTGCCCATTTTTTTTTAATTTAAAATTTTTCCAGGTAAGTTGCATGAGTTCCTGTTTTATAATAGTTATCAGTCCTTATCTGAAGCATAGTTGGCAAATATTTTCTCCCATTCTGAGTGTTGTCTATTCACTCTAATCATTGTTTCTTTTTCTGTGCAGAAGCTTTTTAGCTTTATGTAATCTCATTTTAGCTCATGTAATCTCACTTCTTTATTTTTGGATTTATTGCCTGTGCTTTAGAGGTCTTATATAAGAAATCTTCACCTACTGTTTTTAAGAGTTTTCCCTTTGTTTTCTACCAGTAGTTTTATAGTTTAAGGTTTCGCATTTAGATCTTTGATACATTTCGAGTTAGTTTTTGTTAATGGTGAAAGATAGGGGTCCAGTTTCATTTTTATGTAAGTGGATATCTAGTTTTTCCAGCAAAATTTGCTGAAGAGACTTTCTTTTCCTCACTGATTTTTCTCTTGTTTGTTGTAAAAAACAGTTGACTATATGTTTTGGAGTTTATTTTTGAGTCCTCCATTCGGTTCTATTGTTCTACATGCCTGTTTTGAGCTTTGTAATATATTTGCACATTACTCCTCAGATATCCAACTAAAAAATGGGCAAATGAACTGAATAAATAATTCTCAAAAGGAGACTTATGAGTGGCAAAAAGGTATATGAAAAAATGTTCAAAGTCTGGTCATAAAGGAAATGAAAATTAAAAGCACAATGAGATACCATTTAAACCCTGTTAGAATGGCTAAGATCAAAGATACTTTTCACTTTGTTCTTTTTGCCTAGTATCACTTTGGTGATATGGGGCCTTTTATGATTCCAAATAAATTTTATGATTGTTTTATCCATTTGTGTGAAGAATATCTCTGATAGTTTGGTCAAAATTGCATTGAATTTGTAAGTTAATTTGGGCAGAATTGATGTTTTGATTATATTAATTCTTCTAATCCAGAAACATGGGATGTCTTTCCATATTTGTGTATCATTCTTAGGTTTGTTTTATTTGTTTGTTTATTTGTTTAGTTTTTCATAGTTTTTCTTATAGAAGTCTAGCAACATAACTGCTATGCCACTTGCTGGCCCCTCTAGTAATCTTTCTTTTATATATTTGGATGCCTTTGTGTTGGATGGATAAATATTTATAATGTTTCTCTAGATTTGAGAAGTTTTTTGGATAATATTGTTATGACTTTTCTGGCAACCTAATATTTCATGAAAGAGAGTTTCTATGCCTTTATCCAATTATTTGCCTTCTGGGATATCCAATTTGTGACTATTTGGCTGTTTAATGGTGTCTAGAATTTCTTGTATGCTGTCCCCATTTGTAATGGTCATTTTCCTATTATTTTTGGTGGCTTGGAATAAGTCAGAGGTTTCATCTTCAAGATTGGAGATTTTTTTTCTGCGTGATTCAATCTGCTATTAATACTTTCAAGGGAGCTATTAATTTCCTTTACTATATTCTTCATTTCCAGAATTTCTGTTTGATTCTTTTTTAGGGTGTCTGTCTCTATGAATTTCCTCCTTCTTACACCTCGCTGAGGTTTTGTGTGTGTGTGTGTGTGTGTGTGTGTACGTTTAACGACTGTATAAATTTTACAACATAGTTTTTCCCAGCATGAATATGGTGCATATTGATCCAGTCAAATACATTACCATATACATTATCATCTTATCATCAACAGATAACATTGAATTTGTTCTTTACAATGAACATTCTGGCTTCTTTTTCTGACATTTCTATGATTTCTTATGTTCTTTCTATTGTTAATGGTGAGTTTTTATGTTCCTTTGGGGAAGAGATGCCATCTGTTTTTCTCATATTTCTGTGGGCTCTGCTTTGTTTTTTAGGCATTGGATGAATTGCTCACTTCTTCCATTTTTGGTTAGATTTCTGCAGCTGTATACTCTTGTACTTCTCTATGGTATGTGTTAGCTCCATGTCAGTTTCCCTATTCTTCTGTATGTAGGAATGTTGGAATCCCTGGTGGGAGATCTGGAGTTTGAAATTTCAGATGGAGTTTTCCTTTTGTTTTTTTCCCCCCTAAAGGAGGATGTAGGGTAGACTCCTTGAAAGCCACAGTATATTTAGGCAGTTGGTTCCTTTCTCAAACTTTCTGGTCCTGATGTGGCTGTGGACCGAGCTTGGAAGGCACAATGTGAGGTAGTAGCACAGGAGTCACATCATGCATTTTGTGACACATGGGGCTGGCTACAGACAGCTTTCCTCGTTGTTGTTCCAACTGGTTGACAGGAGGCTGGACAACAAATGACATGCCTGGTTATATGGAAAATTCTTTCCTTTTTGTGTCTTATTAAGACCAGTGTGTAGCAGAACAGTGAGTTCAGACTTTCACGTTAATTCTGTTTTTTCCATGAACTTTTTGAAGTCTCCTTGTAATTGTCTAAATTTTATATATTATTTGCTATTCAACAATATCTAGTGAGTTCTCATTTGTTTGGTGGTAAGATGCATTATAGAGCATTATATATAGAATATAGTAAACATTGTCCTTTTTCTCATGTAATTTTTTTCTATTAGAGGCAGATAAAATGGGAGAGCACTTTACTATTCTATCATTTAATATTGCTAGTAAAGAACTGAATTTAGAGATAAGTGTTTTATTTTCTTCTTAAGAGGAACTCATACAAAGTTTTTAGCAGTTGTTTGTGGTTTGTTTTGTTTGTTTTTGTTTTTCACAATTTTAAAATGCTTTCATTCATGGCCAGGGCCAAAGGAGTAACACTTCTTTGTCATTCATGGAACTGAATGCTTGTACATGATTTCACTGTTGTTATTTTTCCCTAATGGGCAAACCCTATTAAGAAGGGAATGAAACTCTAAACCTTGCAGCTGGTTATCTGAGCCATATCCATACCACAGGCTTAAGCCAGCTCTCTGGCCTTAACATCATGACTGCTCAAATTGACACCGCAGTCTTCAGCTTCCCAAGGGGTATAATTACTTTTGTCCATGATACCCAGTGTTTGAGATGACCTAAGTAAAAGCAGTGTCCTCCCTTTTCTTCCAGTGTGTGGCAAAGCAAGTTGCATTTATAGCAACTAGAAATTCCAGTGGCTTGATCTTTGCGACAGGACTTGCCTGAGGGATTTTGCTGCTGGAGAAAAACACAGAGCTCAGCAACTCTGCTTTGTGCTTTCATAGGCAAAACAGACAAACAAACAAACAAAAAACAAAAACAAACAAACAAACAAAAAACACCCACTTCATTCTGTATCATCCCATCTTCCTCCACCAAAAGCCTAAAGAATGAGACATGATTGGGTATTAGAAGTCGGAGTGCTATAGTAACTACCAACAGTGCTGTCCCACCTTGTTCTATTGGTGATTGAAGGACTTAAAACAGACGGGAATACAGTATAGTCCTGCCTTTTCAGTTTTGCTTTCCTCAGTTTTACTACCTATGGTAAGATATTTTTAAGGCCCAGCATCAGTGGTGCAGGTACAGTCTCAGTGGTGCACAATATTGAAGCTGCATGCGAGGCCCAGGGTGAATTCTGGGTCCTTCTGAACATTCCAATCATGCCTACATACCCCTATGATCCTAGCTGCCTGGGAGACTTGGGGGAGGATTGCAACATAAAGACCCTTTCAAGGATGCCCCCCTCTCTCCATCTCTCTGTGGAAGTAAAGAAGGAAAGAAGGAAGGGAGAAAGGGAAAGACTTTGAAAAGAGAGTATTTTGAGAAAGAGAAAGACCACATTCACAATAATTTTTATTACAGTATATTGTAATTATTCATTTCATTAGTTATTATTGCTAATCTCCTCTCTGTGCCTCATATGTAAATTAAACTTTATCATACGAGTTTATGTATAGGAAAAACATGGTATATCTACGGTTTGGTGTTGACCACAGTTTTAGGCACCCACTGGGGGGGTCTTAGAATGGATCCCCTACAGGTAAGGGGGGACTACTATAGATTAACTACTTCAGCCTTTCTGAAGGACCATGCGGGTGCTCATAAAATGCACACCCTATAGCTGGTTTCTAAGATTATGTCTGTGTTTCTTAGTTGGTGAAATCAAGGATGTCATTATTCCCATATTCTCTCTACCCTTCCTCAGGCCTGATGTTTTTCTCTATTCTGTTTCAGGGCTCATCGTTGGGGTGATCCTGAGGTATGGCACCCCTGCCACCAGTGGCCGTGACAAGTCACTCAGTTGCACTCAGGAAGACAGGGCTTTCAGCACCTTATTAGTGAATGTCAGTGGGAAGTTCTTTGAATATACCTTGAAAGGAGAAATCAGCCCTGGCAAGGTCAACAGTGTGGAGCAGAATGACATGCTGCGCAAGGTGAGCTGGGACCCTCTGCCATTGTTGTGCTGATGTGGTATTGATTTCTCAACTCTATCTTGACCTTGGAGAGAGAAATTTTACCTAACTCCTGGAATATCAGTAATATTCATGGCTGTTTTATTAAGAAGCTTTTGGGCTATAATGAAGAGAAGGAATCATATTTTAACCTGACTTTTCAACTTTGTGATCTTCTTTGACTCATTAGATTCTGTAGCTGATGTGGGCCACTGGTTTTGGGTGGGTTTGTATATCCCTACTCACTTGCTTCTCTAACTGCCTTATTTACTATGTCTCTTGTCCTTGCTATGGCTTAGGAATAAGATTCTTTCTACTTTGCTTTGCTTTGCCTATCTGCCTTTCTTCTCTCTCTCTCTCTCTCTCTCTCTCTCGGAGAGGTTTTTGCTATAGGGCACGTGTGCTCACCAGAAAGACAGAGACAGAGAGACAGAAAATGAGAAATCGCCTCCCCGGGGGGGATGGCCATGCCGCAATCTCTTCTTCTCCATTCTCCTCTCGGGATCTTGGGCACACACGCACACGCGCCTGGCGTGAGTTTAAGCCACCGGGTCCAGGACTCAAACTGCAGTTGACTACATGGGAGTTCAGCGACATAGCCATTGCACCAACTGCTGGTCCCTGTTTCTTTCTTTTAAAACAGAAAGGGTTCCTCCATGTTACAGTTCTCCTACCTAAGCTGCCCCAAGTTGCTGGGACTACAGGTACATACCATTGTATCCCAAATTAGGTTGGATCCAGAATCATCCTGAGCCTCCTATCTCAGTTTACAGAACACAGCATCTTAGCAGTGATCACCACCACAGCTGGGTCTTCTTTCTTCACTTTTAGCTTATTGGCGCAGTATTCAGAAGTACAGATCTTAATTCTTCATTGTTCTTTGCCAGATTCTATTGGGTTGTCAAAAAAGTTGTGACACCTTTTTGCACAGAAAAATGTCATGACTTTTCCAACCACCTAATACAGATATTTGAGCACTTACTCTTATTGGTGATTGATGCCAAAGGCTAAGAATATCTTTGGAAGAAGAAGGTCCCATCTTAGAATTTGAATCCAAGCATTGGTTTTCATTTGATGTTGGGTTAGAAAAAAATAACCCACAGGAAAAAAGGCTTAGATATTGCCTCATCTGAGTAATGTCTAGGATAAGCAAGAAATATGTAGTAATTAAAATATATTCCATTCCATTATAGATCAGGCCTTCTTAGCAGGAAGGCTTCTGAATAGTGGTCTGGGAGATCCAGGTTACGGGGAACCCCTTTTAACATAGAACATAGCCTTAATAAGGTATATGAAGGGTTGAAATCAGAGGCAGAGTGTAGAGTGTGCTTTAAAAATTAAATTGTTGCTGTCCTTGGAATCTACCATAATCCAGAAGGAAAATTAGCCTCGACCTAGAGCATTAAACATGGCCATCTTCTCTGTGTCCCCTAGTGGTAGTACTAGTATGTTCTTTGTTCTCAACACTTAATAAGAAAGTGCAGTATTTTCATCAACAGTGTGAAACCTAATGCAACTGAAAATGATAACCAGTGTAAATGCTACATTAATGGCTGATTTGAAATGGCAGCTTTAGTCTTTCCTATTGGATAGAAAAGAGGGGAAGAGTGAAATAATACCAGCCTATTTCCATCTTTCAGATCAGAATAGAAGATGAAGCTGAATTTTGCTCTCTTATATTTAGAAAAAATGTTTATTCAGATCTCTGTTTAAAAGTTTGCCACACAAAGCAAAGGTGGGAGAACAAACAAGGCCAAGATCACTGTTGCTAGTTGAAGGTAAAAGAAGTTTGTCAAGGCAACTTTGTTGTCGTGAAGACCATTTTTATTTGATTTTGGTCAGAAAACTCTTGTGCTACTTCATACATTACTAGGTTTGGTGACCGGCAGCAAATCTCACTCTTTTTTGGGCCTGGTGTTGTCATGTTGGGTAGATATTTGTGCAAGGCTACTTCTCAATCTGATGTTCCATGCTTTGCAGACTATGCTTATCTTTAGTAAAAAGACAGAATAAAACATAATTTTATAGAACCATTTTTCTTTTAATTAGGCTAATTAACATCATCAATTTCATTTTTTTTTTTTGGAGAGGTTTTTGTTATAGGGCATGTACGCTCGTCAGAAAGACAGAGAGGGACAGAGAGACAGAAAGCGAGAATCACCCCTCAGGGAGGAAGACCACACCACAATCCCTTCTCCAATCTCCTCTTGGGATCTTGGGCATGGATTCACACGTGCCTGGCATGAGTTTAAGCCACCGGGTCTGGGACTCAAACCATGGTCGAGTACATGGGAGTCCAGCAACATAGCCATTACACCAACTGCTGGTCCAACATCATCAATTTTTAAAGGAAAAAACTAGCTTTTATAAATTATTATGAAGATTTAAAATAAATAATTAAAATAAAAGCCAATTAATCTGGTGACATGAACAAATTCTTTAAAAAGGTTTGCATGCTTATAGAATGGTTGATTCTTTTCTAGGTATAAAACTTGGTTGTGTAAAAGTTTCAGAGTGGTTTCTCTGTATCAAACTTACAGGTAATTTCAGTCCTCTTAGAGCTGCTGAATTTATGAAGACATTGAGGAAGCCACCAGCTTCACTGATACCTTCAATCTAGGCTTATAGATTTTGATAAAGAAGGTCTTTCAGAAGAGATTTAATTTCAATAGAACAATGCCTACAAAGGAGTCTGTGGGACAGGATCCAGAAAGTTAATGAAGAATCATGACAGCATCTTTTATTGCACTTGGACCCTTACAAAACCCTTAAAAATCAAGATGTTTTTATTTCTTCTTGGAAAACACTGGCTAGAAGCTTTGTGTGAGTTCTCCAAATTGCATTGAATAGTTGTGTCTTAATATGTCTTTAAAGAGCGCATCAAGATCAGAAGTGAGAAGTGCTGTTGGGAGAAGTACATGCCAGGCCACAGGGCAGTTGTGTCCTCTTCTGGAATGAGTCCCTAATTATTCACATCTATGTTATTTACTTTCTGCAAACGTTCATCAAATAATATGGCACTGGTTGATAATAAACAAAAATTGGCCTTTTGTTTTTAATTTTTAGGTAACATTTGATCCAGAGGTATTTTTCAACATTCTGCTGCCTCCAATTATTTTCCATGCTGGATATAGCTTAAAAAAGGTAAGAGGCTTTTTGTTAGTACTTCCTGAATTTTGTGAATCTCTTTGTTAAATTACCTGCAAAATTTTCTAGTGTTTTTCTTATCCTAGATTGCTTGTTACTGAGTTCTACACCTACTCAGAGATTATAGTTGACTCAACATCAATGATTCATTTTTGTTTTAAAGTCTGGTATGCTCATACATTGCCAGTGAGAATGTAAAATGGTATAGCCATTCTGGAAAACATGTTGACAGTTTCTTATAAATTACTGTATGACCAGCAATTTCATTCCTGAGGATTTATCCCAGAGAAATGAAAGGTTATGTTCACACAAAAGTCTATACCTGATCATTCATACTAACTTTATTTGTAATAGACAAAAACTAGAAATAACCAAAATTTCCCATAATAGATGAAGAGTCAAATAAACTGTGGTACATCAATATCATAGAATAGTGCTCACTAATAAAATGGAACAAAATAAGGCATTATGCTGCAAGAAAAAAAATTCAATTTCAAAAGGTTACATACTGTTTGATATCACTTATATAGCATTCTAAAATGACAAAATTATGGAGATGGAAAACAAATTAATAGTTGCCAGGAGTTAGGAATGATGCGAGTGACTATAAAGGGGTAGCATAAGGGACATTTTCATGGTGGGGGAAAAGTTCTGTGTCTTGATTGTGGTACTGGTTATGCTAATCTACACATGTGATAAAATAACATTGAACTATGTACACACATTGTACCAATGTCAGTTTCTTAGTTTTGACATTGTACTGTGGTTATGTAAGGCATAACCGGTGGAGGAAACTGGGTGAAGAGTACATGGGATCTCTCTATACTATCTTTGTAATTTCTATGGATCTATAATTATTCCCCCCAAAAAAGTTTTAAAGAGACTAACTATCCTTATTAGTAAGATTCCTTGTGCCCATCAGCAAGGTTGGTCCCTAGTTATTTAAAATATCATATACCTTTACAGATGTGTGGATGGCTCTCTCCCTTTTGCAGTGTGGAGATATTATGTGAAAATTGGTCTCTAGAAAGGCTTCCCTCAGATAATACCCATGGAGCTTCTCTCAGCTCTCTTTATGAATTGAGAACTAAAGGAAACCTTTTTGGTGACTCTAATGCGGAGATATCTTGGTTGACAGTAAAACTCAATAATATACTTAGGAACTGGAGAATGTATCCCAAATTAATAAACTCTAGCTAGAACAATCAAGAAAAAAAAGAGAAAGAAACAAACTGTTTCTATCAGGAATGAGAAAGGGAACATCACTATAGACCCTTCAGACATTTAAGGGATAGTAAGGGAATACCATGGACAGTTTTATGCCAATAGGTCTGACAGCCTAAGTAAAATGGGCAAATACTTGAAAGACACAAATTACTAAAACTGACCTGAGGAGAGAAAGGAAAATTTAATAGCCCTATATAAATGAAAGAAATAGAGTTCACAATTAGAAACCTTCCCACAAGACCAGATGGTAAATTATATCAAGCATTTAAGGAAGAAATCATATAAGCAAATTCAGGGACCAGCAGATGGCGTAATGGCTACATTACTGTACTCCCACATGGCCGACCATGATTTGAGTCCCAGACCTGGAGGCTTGAAACTCATTTTAGGCACGTGTACATGTGTGCCTAAAATCCTGAGAGGAGGATGGAGGAGAAGGGATTGCAGTGTGGCCAGCCCCCCGGGGGATAATTTCTTACTTTCTGTTTCTCTCTCTCTGGTGAGCACATGCACCCTATAACAAAGTCTTTCACACTCTCTTCCAAAAAAAAAAAAAAAATCAAAAAGTTCATGGAAAATGGATTTTCATTTCATTGTATTTGGTGTAAAAATGTTTTGAAATACATGTACAATGTTTTCATAATAGGTATTTTCCATGAACTTTTGACAGACCCTTTGAACTAATCCTATGCAAACTCTTTCAGAAAATAGAGGAAGGAACACTTCCCAACTTACTTCATGAGAGAATTCTTGCCCATCAGGCAGGTTTTTCTTTCAAAGCCACTGTTCAGTTTTCAGAAGGTTTTAAAATTATTTTCAACCAACATAAAATATATTAACACTTTATGCTGCATCTATTATGTGTGTACTAGGAATTTTACATACATTCTTTATTTTTTTTTAATGCCAGAAGGCAAGTGTGTGCATGAGAGAAAGAGAAAGCATCCCCAACAGGAATTGGTCACACTGCATTTCTTTTCCCCCAATTCTCTATCCTTTCAGCATCCTGGACATGTGTGCATGTACCCAGTGTATTTTTCAAGCCACCAGGGGTGAGACTTGAGCCTGGTTGGCCACATGAGATCTGGCTTCCTCTACGCAGCACCTATCCCCTGTGCTATGGGTCTGACCCTACATATAGTCTTTGTTTTTACATATACTCAGTCTAATCCTCATAGAATCTCTGTTAGAAGGTAAAAGTGGTTGGAGATTAGCTCACATTGTTTCTCCTTCTGGTTTCCAATTCATTGATTAACAGATACAAGGCGTTAACATATGATTTAATGATTGACTTATGATCCAGAGTCCCTGGTAAATGCATGTTGGAGTGTATAGCATAGCCCTAGGTAATGGAGCACTTATCAGCCTACCTCATGAATTATAGACTGCTCTTCTGTAGCCACCAGGTCTGTCACAGTCACAGTCACAGTCACAGGTAGAGAGGCTGAAATGGAGAAATCCTAGATATTACTGAGCCTGCCAAAGGCTTCCTGCTTGCTCATAACCTAGAGGTTAGAGGAACAAGAACAATTTCCCACCTTGCATAAGAGGGTCAGTACTACAAGTCAAGCTGATTTTCCCTTTCAGAGATCAAGTGATCTGTACTTATTGCATCACATTTGTGGAGGGGTAGAGGGATAAGGAATGGAACATAAGTCCCCTCTCCATGTTGGATACTTGAGGAACAGGAGATGTGTGTTTCTGCACACCAGTTCAATGCACATTTGTACACTCACTTGTAGAGAGTGGCCTGAATTTTAGTGATGAAACTGAGTTGATTAATGATGCATGTGAGGTTATATAGATGGTACAGGACTAAGTCAAGGTTATGCTCTTTCTTTCTCTGTCTGACTCCAGGGTCCAAGGTCTTCCTTTGTGCTACACTGCCTCTGGATTTAGGTTTTCTGTACAGAAAACATATCCTTTTCCTTACTAATCTCTGGGGTTGTCAGAGTCATCTTAATTTGTATGTCATATGGACATGTTACAGTTAGGAGATAGTTATTATGGGTATAAATAATGTTATCTTAAGACAGCTCCATAGCCTGGTGGTTAAGTCCAGCTACATGACTGAACACATGGTTCAAGTCCCAGATTCAGCAACTTGAGAAATATGCTGGGCACATGTGCATGCATGCCCCAAAATCCCCAAATGGGGGAAAGATGGAGGAGAAGGAATTGCAGCATGATCATTCTCCTTGGTGGGAGAGGGGAACTTTCTCCTCTCCCTCTATTTCTGTTCTCTGTCTCTCTCTGGCAAGTGCATGCTCTTTCATACGTGTGTGTGTGTGTGTGTGTGTATAATCTATTAGGTAAACTCATATTTATGATATTAGTCAAAGAAAAAAAGTAGTAATATAAATCTACCATCAAAAATACATTCATAATATATTATTTTCTTCATTCATAATATATTCTAAAATTATGCACACAAAAACTCATACTTCATATCTGCAGATGTGAATTGAAATTTTACTGTATCTTGGAGAGACACATCACTTTCTTGTGCATTGTATCTAGTAATTAAATGTATACTTCACATTTATTAACCCATTCAATTCTCATGACTTCCCCATCATGATCATCTTATATGAGAGAAAGTTAAGGCTCAAAGGTGTGATGTGAGCTGCAAGTCTCACATACATGAAACCATGATCCCAGAATGAAAAGCCCATCTCATTCCCTCCAAGCATTGCTCTCTCCCTGTGCAAACTGCCGTGTGACCCAGCTCCTCAATTCCCACAACTTCCCTTTGGAGAAGAAATGACAGGACATGAGGTGCCAAGTGAAATCCTTGATCTCTCATCCTATTCCTATTTGCAGCTATGACTTGTTTAGAGTCTCCCCTACTTTTACTTCTCAGTTATAGAATGGCAAGGAGAGGGACCAGCAGGTGGTGTTGTGGTTAAGTCGCTGGACTTGTACATGGTTGACCACAGTTTGAGTGCCAGACTTGGTTTCTTGTAACTCATGCTGGGCGCATGTGCATGTGTGGCCAAAATCCCAGGAGGAGAATAGAGGAGAAGAGATTGTGGCATGGCCATCCCCCTTGGGAGGTGATTTCTCACTTTCCCTGTCACTGTCTCTCTCTTTTTCTCTCTGGTGGCACACATGCCCTATGGCAAAACCTTAAAAAAAAGAAAAAAAAAAGAGTGGCAAGGAGAAACAAAACACAGTGGCATACTCCCCCAGGTGAAGTCTTTAAGATCCCCTAAGACAGACCAAAGTGAGAAGGATTGTTTTGGTGAAAACCTACATGAGATTCCAATCCCTAGCTATATCATTTTTTGTTTTAATTTGCCAGAGGGCACATGGGTTTATCAGAGGGAGACAGGTAAAAAGCACCCATGGACATAGTCACATCACAATCCTTTCTCTCCTACATTTCTCCATCCTCTTGGGATTTGGGGCACTCATATACATGCACCCAGTGTTTTTCAAACTATGGGGATCAGGATTCAAACCATGTGGTCGGGCATGTGGGATCCAGCTCTCTCTCTCTCTCTTTCTCTCTCTTTTTCTTTTGAGAGAGTTTTTTTGTTTTGTTTTGTTTCGTTTGTTTGTTTGTTATTTTGCTACAGTGCACATGCACTCACTGGAGAGACAGAAAGCAAGAAATCACTCTCCAGTGGGGATGGCCACACCACAGTCCTGACTTCCCCATTCTTCTCTCAGGATCTTGGGCACATATGCACACACACACAAACCTGGCATGAGTTTTAAGTCTCTGAGTCCAGGACTCGAACTGTGGTCGACTATGTAGGAGTCCAGAGACCTAACCATTATGCCATCTGCTGGTTCCAGGATCAAACTCTCTTAACAAACAGGCCACAGGACTGGCCCCCTAGGTGTATCATTCTAAGCTTTACATTCCTACTTCTTGGGAAATCCTTTCCCCTCCCATTACCCACCAACAAGGTTTAACATGTTAGTGTATGTGTGTGTGTGTGTGTTTGGTGGGGATATTCACCAAAAATGAAGGGTTCTGTAGTTAAATTTTTTCCCTGCCAGTGCCTTGTAAGCAAACCATGAGTGATGGCACAAAATCAAAGCTAATTCCAAACTTTTTTCAAGTTAGACAAAAAAGGCCCATGGTGTGTGACGACAACATAGGATTTTCAAAAATTTGTGGGAAAAATGCATATTGTGAAAAAAAAAGTATAGATTTCCATTTCTTTTTGCACCAAAAATAAATTCCTGCTTTCTTTTTCCATTAACCTTTTGAAGTTCCCTCACATATATGCATAGGTCAAAGAGGGTCTGAATGTACCCATTTACATACTATCAGTTAAATAGTGAAATCGTTACATTAATATATTAGGTTGTCAGAAGAGTCATGGTCTTTTTGCATAGAAAGACATAGAAAAATACGTCTGACTTTCCTGACAACATAATACATGCTTAATTGACAACAGGTTTAATCAGAGATGGCAACCATTTTAAGAAACAAACACTTAAGTGCCTTTATAAAGACTTTTTAATAAAGACTAAACTAATAGTTGATAACTTGAAAGACTAGCATTTTAAAAAGTTAAATTGAGAACTAGCAAAACCTTTTCTTTGTTTTTCTTTTGAGAAAATGAGGCTAATAAAGGGAAGACTGCAAAAACTCTGGTGTTTTTCCACCAGTAGAATGACTTTCACCAACCCATGATTTGATTTCATTTTAAAGCAACTATGACTTTGATTATACATTAAGATTAGTTATTTAAAATATCAAATCATTCGTCACCCATTTGACCTGAAGAAGAGTTTTCAGATTCTTCTATTTTGGCCATTGGGCATAGTTATTCAAAAGAAGGCTGAGTAGAAAGTAAAAGCACATATGCAATTTAAAGTTGTTCCTATGTACCTCTCATGAGCATCTTTGATCTCATGCATCATCCTTGGTACTCCTGACACTCTCTGACTTAAGTCCTTGATAGATCTTTTAAAAGGAAGTGGGCTTACAGTTGTGTTTTTTTAAAAAAATCTAATTAATTTTTTCCAAAACATTGGTGTATAAATACATTAGCTTAAAAAGGCTGAGAAGAATGATTTAAGAGCAAACATAATGTGTTGTTAATATGTGCCGGCAGCACCCTCATTTGGTGACTGTTGGCATGGCAAGGTCTTGATGGCTTCTCTTCTGAGTAGGCGACTAGGGACACTAGACATTTCTTGATGCCTTTGTCTAGCCTCAGATAGGGGCAGGCACTGGGAAAGATTGAAGTCATGGACCCAGCCCCTCTGTCTGGGACACAAACCAGAGGATGTCTGTAGCTCATTGTTCAGACTTCATGGGGGCAACCTGATCCAAGCTAGGTTCTTCTTCCTGTGCTCCACCTTTCCCTGATGCTGCTCAGCTGGCATGCTGGGGATCTCCTGCCATTTTTAAATTTTTATGTAAAGTGTTGATGGCCCTTGTTTGACTAGGACATTTGGGATTTTGTCTGGTTTTGATCATCAAACAATAATAGTTTATGCCATGAGGATTAAGAACCATGACTCAAAATATCCCACAGGCCTAATGACATGTAAGAAGTAAATCCTAGTGTGTATGTTTATACTTTTTAAGGTAACCAGTCATTTTGCCCACCTCTTTCTGAATAATTGCTAGATCTTCTGTTTATGAGTTTCATCCTGTATAAACCTGTCCATCTTAAATGGAACCGACTATTTCTCATTCCTCTACATCTGTCTCTTTTGTTCCTTTTGCCCAGGCACCAAAGATTAATCCAGATGAATCTAAGGAGGTGTTTCAGGCCCCATGGACAGATATTTAGGACTCTAAAACATTTATTTCTCCTATGAAAGAGAGAAACACAGGGAGGGGGCACCCCCCAACAGGGTCTTTATGCCAGGATCCACCCCCACACTAAGCCAGCTTGGATCATGGGCACATGCATGTGCATGCCCAATGTGCATGCCCAGTGTGCACAGGGAAGCCTGAGATGCAAATCTGGGGCCTTCCCATGTGGGTCCAGTTGCATTACCACTGTACCACTACCTGACCCCAGCACTCTTGTTTTCTGATATTGAATTAATTAGAAAGCTCTTTAGATGGCACCTTCATGCTTTATTGCAAACATATCTCTAATGATCATCTAGGATACCACCTGAATTGGAAGTAACCAGCTGAATCATGATATAAAGTAGTTTAGGTTAAATCTATAAAAATGATTGATCTGCTTATGTGCACACATGCGTACATGGGCATGCAGGTGCGCGCGCACACACACACACACACACACACACACACACACACACATTTAATGTAGTTTAATGTAATCAGCCAGCATAGTTCTGTGTGAAAATTTATAAGTTCTTACTTACTTGCTCAGTGGTGGAAAGTGCAGAGCATATTTTATTTAAATTTTTTTTAGTTTATTTATTTATTTCTTCCAGTAAAGGAAAAGAAAGAGACAGAGAAAGATAATCCTGACAAAATCCCTAGTCATGATCCATTCTGTCTCAGCTAGCCCAGATCACAGCACATGCACCTAGCATGCTCAGGGAAGTCATAGGACATGAACCCAGAACCTTTCCCATGTGGGTCCAATTGCATTTACCACTGCACTAACACCTGACCCTCAAAGAATATTTTAAAACTATATTGTTTACAGCTAAATAACGGTATTTAGTAGTAATTTCAATTACTTGTTGTATAATAATAGAAACAGTAGAGTTTCACTTTTTAGGGAATATTTTTCTTATTTTAGAAACAGACCTTAATATATTGTCCAGGCCAGCCTCGAAGTCATGATCCTCCTGCCTCAGCCTCCTCAGTAGCTGGGATTATAGGTGGCATGCATACCTGACTTTAGAGACTTTTCATGTGTTTCACTGTCAGAAATCACAGTATGATCCTGTTTTTTTGTTTGTTTTATTCAGAGACACTTTTTCAGAAATCTTGATTCTATTCTAGCCTATGCCTTCTTGGGGACTGCTGTTTCCTGCTTCATCATTGGGTAAGTGAGTTTTTGTCTTATAACTGAATTAACATATTCTCCAAAGGGATGAGACCCACATGGGGCCACAGAGTCTAGTAGTTTAAAGTTTGTGCTGATGGAAGAGGGTGGGGAGCTACACTGTACAGGATGATAGTTAATAACCACCACATCTTTATGGCGAGCACATGCACCCTATAGCAAAAACTGCTCCAAAATAAATAAATAAATAAATAAATAACCACATGTGGCTGTTTGAATTAAGCTTAATAAAAATGAAATAAAAGTATACCTAGCGCCTAGATCTTTTCAGTATCATTCTTTATTAAAAATAACCAGAGCCCCACACAGAAATGTCTGATTTTGGGACTAGGGCAGGAAATATACAAGATGAAAAGGGAGCATCTTATAATGCCAGAAAGAAAGGAAGTGCTCAAAGGAATGTGGGACATGTCAAGGGGATACAAGAGCCAACCTAGAAGCTCCTGTAGTGGCCAAAGTATACCTAATGACTGAAGAACAACAAAATAAAATTAAAAGTAAGTAAATGACATTGTATTATGTTATCATCAGTATAAATTGAATATCCCTGAGTCCATAATGATATAAATAAATGAATGAATGAATGGGGGAAAAGAGACAAATTTCCTATGTAGAAGAATTCCAAATAATTTATGTAGATACTTTCTTTTAAAAAAAAAGTAGTGCTTAGTCCCCCATCCCTCTCCTCTCACCCTGATTTGAGTGTGCTGAACACAGTGATGACTTCTTTGTGTGTGTGTGTGTGTGTGTGTGTGTGTGTGTGTGTGAGGTTTTTGCTTTAGGGCACGTGCACTTGCCAGAAAGACGAGAGACCGAGAGATAGAAAGGGAGAAATCACCCCCCGGGGGTATGGCCACGCCACAACCCCTTCTCCTCCATCCTTCTCTTGGGATCTTGGGCGTGCACGTATGCACACCCGGTGTGAGTTTAAGCCACTGGGTCTGGGACTTGAACCACGGTCGACTACATGGGAGTCCAGTGACATAGCCATTACTCCAACTGCTGGTCCTGAACACAGTGACTTCTAGCAGCTGCAGTCATGCACACTGCTAAGACTTCCTTCCAAAAAGTACACTATGGAAGGGAGAAAGCAGAGAAGTTTAACAGTGAAGAAGCCTGGCAGACACTAACCTGCACCCACCCCTGTTCCTGTGGAGGCAGTTGGGGTTGGGAGGTGGGCAGTCATAATGAAAATGAGGTCGACCAGTGTTCCAGGTGAACCGTGGTCTGTAAGACCTGGAACAGCAGGCAGTTGATCAAGGTCAACATCAATGGTAATAAGTCATGTTGAGAGTATGGCTCCTAGATATTTGTTATAAGAAGGGCCTCTCTGGTCATCCATCCCCAAGCACATTTCCCCAGTCTAACCATGAGAAAAATAATCAATTGAATCTCTGCTAAGAGACATTCTATAAAATATCTGACAATTTTTTTCCCAAACTGCCAAGGCCATCAAAAACATGCAAAGTCTGAGAAACTGTCACAGCTAATGACTAAACAGATTTGATGATTAAATATGTGGCATCTGAGAGGTGATCCTGGAGCAGAAAAAGGACATTAGTTAAAAACCACGAAATATCTGACTAAAGTGAGAATTTTAGTTAATTGTTTAAAATTAATTTTTATTTATCTATTTTTTTTGCCATTGTGCATGTGCACTCACCAGAGAGAGATAGAAAGACAAGGAAAGTGAGAAATCACCCTCCCAGGGTGGATGGCCACACCACAATCACTTTTCCGCCAGTCTCCTCTCAGTATTTTGGGTATGTGTGCACACGTGCCTGGTGTGATTTTCAAGCAGCTGGGTCCGGAACTTGAATCACAGATGGCCGTGTGATAGTCCAGAGCCTCAACTACTACACAACCTGCTGGTTCCCTTTAGCTAATTTTTCAAAAATTCAGCTGAAGGGAACCAGCAGTTAGCGTAATGGCTGTCGCTGGACTCCCACGTAGTCAACCGTGGTTCGCGTCCCAGACTCGGTGGCTTAGAACTCA